TTTGGGATTATACGTTCGATGAGAAGTTGAAGGTCGATACGAGGGGCCGGAAGGTCCTGCTGACGGAACCGCCGATGAACCCGAAAGTGAACAGGCAGAGGATGTGTCAGGTTATGTTTGAGGAGTATGGGTTTCAGGGGGTGTATGTTGCTATTCAGGCTGTGTTGACGCTTTATGCGCAGGGTGAGTTTTCTTTTGCTTCATCAAATGTTGTAATGGGGAGCATCGACGAGGGCTAATGCGGATTACAATTAGGTCTGACGACGGGTGTTGTCGTCGACTCGGGAGACGGCGTAACGCACATCGTGCCCGTGTACGACGGGTACGCGATGCCGCACCTCACGCGGCGATTAGACATCGCTGGGCGGGACGTGACACGATATCTGATCAAGCTGCTCCTTATGCGCGGGTACGCGTTCAATCGCACGGCGGATTTCGAGACGGTCAGAGAGATCAAGGAGAAGTTACCTTATGTTAGGTCTGTCTGTCTGTTCCCCCCCCTTCCTTCCTGTATGCATCTTATCTGATTGTGGGATTGGGTAGTTATGATCTTGAACTTGATACGCGTCTTTCAGAGGAGACTACGGTGTTGGTGGAGAGTTATACTGTAGGTTTCTTTCTTTCTTTCCTTCCTCTCTTTCTATACACTGAACTGTGATGACAGCTCCCAGACGGACGTACCATCAAAGTCGGCGCAGAACGATTCGAAGCCCCAGAATGCATGTTCCAGCCTCACCTAGTCGACATTGAACAGCCCGGTGTAGCTGGTACGTCCTTCCCCTCCTTCCCCCCATCCATTGTCCTCTTTTATACCCTACTGAACACTCACAACGTAACGTAGAAATGCTATTCCAAACAATTCAAACCGCACCAGTGGACGGAGCTCTACAAACACGTCGTCCTGTCCGGTGGATCAAGCATGTACCCAGGTCTTCCGAGCAGGTTGGAAAAGGAGATGAAGCAGCTTTATTTGACGAGGGTGTTGGGTGGGGATCCGGCGCGGTTGAATGTAAGTTTCTCTTGCTTTCTCTTTTCTTTTGTGGTACCTTCTTCCCTCCTTTTTTTCTTTCTTCCTTCTGGACGTGATTCGTTCTCCTGACGCTTACATTCAAACACACAAACAGAAATTCAAAATCAAGATCGAAGATCCCCCTCGCAGGAAACACATGGTTTTCCTTGGAGGTGCGGTGTTGGCGGATATTATGAAGGGCCGTGAGGACTTTTGGATATCACGCGAGGAGTGGTTCGAGAAGGGCGTTGTGTCATTGGATAAATTGGGGAGGGGGGATAATTAATTATAAGTTGGGAGA